GGATATTTTGGATACTGCCTTTTTTGCCACAGCTTTTATTATTTAATAAAGCTCGCTTTTTGTTAAATTCTGCATTTGAGTCCTACCTGCTTCACCCATTCGTAACACCCCCTCCACAACCAGAATGTATTAAAACTCTTCAGTACCAGTTCTACCGACTTTACTTTAAACAATTAAAAAGACAAAATCAACTAAATATATTGAAATAACGATCTTCATTGTAGGTGCCTCTTCTTCTTTTAAAGTGGACCTATCATGCAAAATGCACTTTTGTACGTCTTTTATACATGAATATGTGTCCCCGGTGTGTCAGGGAACTCACGAAGTGTCAGAAAACACAACCCTCTCTCTTTTCCTCCATACCCAAATCTCTAAAAACGGGGCTGCAACGGAGCTGATCAGACTGATACAGATTTGANGTAGAGGTCCACGGTGTCTCCAAAGGGCCTCTAGGAGACGCAGGGCCAGGATTCCAGCCCGGGCCCCAGCAGCCATGGTCCCAGAACCAGTTCCGGCCCCAGCAGCCATGGTCCCAGACCCAGTTCCGGCCCCAGCAGCCATGGTTCCGGCCCCAGTTCCGGCCCCAGCAGCCATGGTCCCAGACCCAGTTCTGGCCCCAGCAGCCATGGTTCCAGACCCAGTTCTGGCCCCAGCAGCCATGGTTCCAGACTCAGTTCTGGCCATGGTCCCGGCCCCAGTTCCGGCCCCAGCAGCCATGGTCCCAGCCCCAGTTCTGGCCCCAGCAGCCATGGTTCCAGACTCAGTTCTGGCCCCGGCAGCCATGGTTCCAGACTCAGTTCTGGCCCCGGCAGCCATGGTCCCGGCCCCAGTTCCGGCCCCAGCAGCCATGGTTCCAGACCCAGTTCTGGCCCCAGCAGCCATGGTCCCGGCCCCAGTTCTGGCCTCGGCAGCCATGGTTCCAGACTCAGTTCTGGCCATGGTCCCGGCCCCAGTTCCGGCCCCAGCGGCCATGGTTCCAGACCCAGCTCTGGCCCCAGCTGCCATAGTCCCATCTCAAGTCCCATCTCTGGTCCCTTCTCTAGTCTTTTCTCGAGTCCTAACTCAAGTCCCTTCTCTAGTCCCTTCTCTGGTCCCCTCTCTAGTCCCTCCTCTAGTCCCTTCCCAAGTCCCTCCTCTAGTCCCTTCTCTAGTCCCTTCTCTAATCCCTTCTCCAGTCCCACCTCTAGTCACTTCTCTAGTCACTTCTCAAGTACCAACTCTAGTCCCATCTCAAGTCCCTTCTCTAGTCCCTACTCAATTCATTTCTCAAGTCCTTTCTCAAGTCCCTCCTCTAGTCACTTCCCTAGTCACTTCTCTAGTCCCATCTCTAGTCCCTTCTCCAGTCCCACCTTTAGTCACTTCTCTAGTCGCTCCTTTAGTCACTTCTCTAGTCCCTTCTCAAGTCCCAACTCTAGTCCCATCTCAAGTTCCCTCTCGAGTCCCCACTCCAGTTTCTTCTCTAGTCACCTCTCAAGTCNACAACACACACACACACACACACACACACACACACACACACACACAACACACACACACACACACACACCACCACACACACACACACACACACACACACAACACACCCTCATGAAAGGGAAATGAACTGAAATATGAAGATGGGGTGATGTAAACCTACCCCTTTATTACATTAACATGAGGTGATATAAATAACCTTGTCCGAAATCGTCAGAGACCTTAATGACTTTTTCAAGGTGAGCTATTTAGATAGAGCTTGTGGCCACCTGTGGTGTGCATGTTGGCAATTCCTCTTTAGACCGATTACACAAACATGAAGATCCCCTCTCAATTTCATTGTTTCGTCTCATGTCCTCTCCCTATCTCTCTCCTCCCACCCTCCCACTTGCTGAGTTTAAAAGGTTAAAGTAAGTGTATGACATCAGGATGTTTATGTTTCAGAAGCAGGGGCGGACTGGGACTACAAATCAGCCCGGGACTCTCGACCGGCCCACTTCAGTACCGCCGGCCCACCGCGGTGCTCGTGACTTACCGCAGAGGTAGACATTAAGGGTAAAATGCCACTGGCATTATATTATCACTGGCCCCACCATTGTAACCACTGGTCCGGAGCATTCGTCCAAAAAGAAAATCGACTAATAATGAAGAAAATTAACAAATGTGTTGCAATAGTAATGTATGCACTAACTACATTACTACCTGTACTACAACATTTGAATCATCAGTTCTTCCTCATTTTCCTCAATTGTTCATATTTGGTTTATTCAAACAGCTGTTTGCTTTTCACCCAACAACGACAACCGACCTGCAACCGACTCACGGAACGCTATGTTGTGATAAACGAAACCATTTTTTGTTGTTGTGATAAACAAACACATTTTTTTAAAGAAATATTTTTAGTGGCCCGAGCGGGCAAGTGGAAAGTACGTTATACTGGCCCGGGGTGTTTAAATAGTGCTTCCGGGCCAGCAGGCCATTTATAATGCCGAGCCCTGCCGGTTACCGGCCGGACCACATCGTCCGACCGGCCCACTTCAGTACCGGCCCATCGGGATTCGCCCCGAACGTCCCGAATCCCGATGGCCAGTCCGCCCCCGTTCAGAAGTTTAAAGATACAGTAGGCTCTGTGTGCACCTTCTGCTGAAATCCTAGGGGCCTTTGTTAGAGGCAGTTAATAAGGCTATGTGTGGCAGATAAATGGACGCCAGTTTATTTTGGAGGCTACTTTGGTTACATTAATGTGTGTCGTGGCAGAATTTTACTGTTGACTTTTTTTGCCGTTTTCAACCTTACAGGATCGCTGAGATAAGTGTGGATGATGACTAGGCAAATATTTGGTTTATGCTGCCTGTCATGGTTTTAATGGCCGGTTTTTCTCTCTTAAAAACCTGTAATCCTGCATACATACTCCCAGCCTTAAAAGTCTGCTTCCTGTATTTATTATGCTACGTGTAAACAATCCATTAGTGACAGTTAGAAATATATCAAGTATGAATTTTAATAAATGTTTAATGACAAGAAAAGAGTGTTATAACACTGCTTATTTTTCATTTGTTCTAAGGTGACATGAGTGAAAGAAGAAGCGATATTTGAAGGAAGAACCAGGCAAAGCAATTTACATTGTCACCCGACAGGTGTTTGAGATTGGTAATTGTTAACTGAAAACACTTATTTAATTTTGGATTTAGCTGGTTTCCCTTTAGTTTACTGACACATATTTCTTAGACAAAAACAAACAAACACTCACAGTGCTGAAAACACTTTGCAAAATGTATTCAAAGTACGCACATACAGATGTTATAAATGGCATACACAGTTATGCACTACATTTTAGTGTCCATGTGAATATTTCAGGTGGTTTCGTCGCGCATCTTGACTGTCACGTTTCTGGAAGCACTTTCCCTGTTTGTCCATGCAGGACCAAACGGAGCCGGAGAAGGCGGCGAACTGGGAGCAGGTGCAGTTTCCCTGTTTGTCTTTGCAGGACCAAACGGAGTCGGAGCAGGAGGAGGATTTGTCAGAGATAATGCCCTTCTCACATCAGACATGGCGTCTTTTTTGATGGCCTTTTCTTTCTCTTTCCATGTTCTCTTTCTCCAACTGTATAGCAACTCTTTGGATGCATGTCTTTTCACGAATGTAGGCCTTCCTCATGGCCATCTCTGCCTTATCAATATTGAAGGACTTCCTGTCATCAGACATAGCACTGTTTTCGGCTTGAAAGGCCATAAGTTGCTCCCTGAGTTCTTTGTTGAAGCGTTCTCTTTCCTTCTCCATGTGCTCCTTCTCCAACTGAAAGGCATTTCTTTCCTCAGCACACTCCCTCTGAAAGGTCTCTCTCTCGCTGGTCAGGCTTTGCCTTTCCATCTCCAGAGCCTCCTTCATGATGATGAAATGTGTCTCTTCCCATAATGGTTGGAGTGCCTCTGCCTCGGGCTGCCACTCCAGCATGTTGTTCTCCACAGGGAAGCAGCCTGCTGTTTCATGCACCACATTGTTGCTTTGGGGGTAAAGCAGTGACTGGCTCTGCATCACTGAAGGCTGGAGGGGAAAGTACTCAATACCGTCATTGGTGAGGAAACAGTTAGCCTCGCTGTACACATGGATGTTGTTTCCCTGAAACTGCTGGCCATTTCCATCCAGCCAGAAGAACTCTTCACCATGTGCTGGTTCTGGTTGTCCTTGCCAAGCCACATCAGGTGAATAGAGATTCATCTATAAGGAAGAGAAAATCAGCATTGACTTGATAACAAGTGATGAACACATTTTTTAGTTTAACCTAACCTTTTTGGTGAAGTTCAAACTAGCAAAGAAATATTACATTGCACTTTTTTAAACATACATTTAACAATTTCCTTCAAAAAAAATTAACTAGCCCCAACTCTTTTGGAAACCTACAGTTCAGTAACATTGATGTGAATACTGTTTTCTTTCCCATCTACTGCTTATCTCAGAAACATAGAGATCTGCCAGGAAAACATTGTCTTACTTTTTAAGAACATGTGCTGGTTGTGGTTGTTCTTGGCAAACCACATCAGGTGAATACACATGCATCTATAAGGAAGAGAACATGAGCATTATAGAGATCTGTCAGCAAAAACATTGTCTTTACATTTTAACAAATGTAATACTTACCACCCAAAAAGCTGGGTCCTCCTGTAGAAGCTCCATCGAGGAAGTCTCAGCGTAATAATTGTAATTGCAGGAGGTATTTTGTTTCTCAATGCCTCAGTGTGTTCACTCCTCAGAGATCTGTGTGCAATGACTGCTCCGGACGCTCAGAATGCTCTCTGTTGTTCAACGTTCTAAGTTCTATGCATCACATTCCAAGCAGTTGCCTCGGTTTTCTCAAAATAACAAACTCAGAGTTCAGTTTCAATTCAATTCAACTCAAACAATCGTGAACAATGTTATGAGCGTCGAAAAGGGATATACAGTATTAAAGGCAATACTATAAGACAGCATTACCATCAGCAAGCGTTCATTTGAACTTGTCTTTGTTTAGTAAAAGCTGACACAATGCTGCAGTTTGATTTGACTGTACACATTCTATTAAGAGTAATGCATTTATCCCAGAAGGGAAATCTGATTGCATATAGAAAAAAATAAATGATAAAGAGAAGAAAAACACAAATACACAACAACCTTATATAATAAATATCTAATTTTAAAAAAGCCAAAAACTAATTAATAATACATAAATACTACTACTACAGTATTACTACTACTACTACTACTACTACTACTACTACTACTACTACTACTACTACTACTACTAATAATAATATTATTAATAATATTATTAGATATATAAATGTGTGTAATGGTAATACAAATTATACTTATACTATAGTTAACATCAGCACATGATAATACATTAAAGTTAGCAAGAGTTGTGGAGCTGTGTAGCTACCTGTACATAATGAAGGGATACAGAATCACTGAAAACCTGAATTACCAGGAACAAATGAACTAGTTATCATAACTGTTTTCATAGTACATTTTTCTTCAGAAAACAGTAGTTCCAATACAAACTGTTGAGGCTTATCCTTCGATGGTAGTATTTCTTAACCCTTGTTGTTATTTGATTATCTGATTTTGGAGTCCCTCCCACTTTTTTTGATCCCAGTTCTAAGCAATGGGTAATTGTACAGTGGACATTTTTGTTTCTAAAAAATAACCTCACATTATTGTGTGACAAAAAATGGGCATTGCATTGATCATGATACNAGCATGTTGTTCTCAACAGGGAACCAGCCTGCTGTTTCATGCACCACATTGTTGCTTTGGGGGTAAAGCAGTGACTGGCTCTGCATCACTGAAGGCTGGAGGGGTCCAGCCTTCAGTGATGCAGAGCCAGTCACTGCTTTACCCCCAAAGCAACAATGTGGTGCATGAAACAGCAGGCTGGTTCCCTGTTGAGAACAACATGCTGGAGTGGCTGACAGAGGCAAAGGCACCCAAAACAATATGGGAAGAGACACATTTAAACAGCATGAAGGAGGCTCTGGAGATGGAAAGGCAAAGCCTGACCAGCGAGAGAGAGAAACCATTCAGAGAGAGTGTGCTGAGGAAAGATATGCCTTCCAGGTGGAGAAGGAGTACATGGAGAAGAAAAGAGAACGCTTCAACAAAGAACTCAGGGAGCAACTTATGGAGAGAAAGGCCTTTCAAGCCAAAAACAATGCTATGGCTTTTGACAGGAAGTCCTTCCAGATTGAAAAGGAAGAGATGGCCATGATGAGGAAGGCCTACATCCATGAAAAGGCAGGCATCCAAAAAACAAGAGATGCTATTAAGTTCCAAAATCAAATGACATCAACCAAAAAGTCCACCACAAGCAATACTGTCAACATCTCTGACAAATCCTCTTTCTGCTCCATCTCCGTTTAGGCCTGCAAAGACAAACAGGCCAACTGCACCTGCTCCCAGTTGGTCTCCGAGTCCTTTTGAGCCTGTAAGGATGAACAGGGAAACTGCACCTGCTCCCAGTTGGTCTCCGTTTGGGCCTGTAAGGATGAACAGGGAAACTACACCTGCTCCCAGTTGGTCTCCGTTTGGGCCTGTAAGGATGAACAGGGAAACTGCACCTGCTCCCAGAAACGTGACAGTCCATTATGCGCGAGGAAACCATCTGAAATATTCGCATGGACACTAAAATGTTATGCATAACTGTGTATGCCATTTATAACATCTATGTGCATACTTTGAATACAATTTTGCAATGTGTTTTCAGCAATGAATGTGTCATTTTTTGAGTAAGAAATAGAAATAGTAAGAAATATGTGTCAGTAAACTAAAGGGAAAACTATTGAGACCCCTAGGAATTCAGCGCAATGTGTAAAGTTCTCAAACATAAACACCCTGATGTCATACAAATACTTTAAAACATTAAAAAAAATCTTTATGCAGACACATGAGAGGAAACAAGGAAGTTGAGAGGGGATCTTAATGTGTGTGTAATTTGTCTTCAGTGGAATTGCCAACATGTTCATCACCACAAGCTCTGTCTAAATAGCTCACCTTCAAAAAGTCCCAAATCTCAGAAATGACTTCATAATGAGGAACGATGGAAAATAAATTAATGCAGTTGACTTTTCAATCTATTAGAATGTAGTGTTTGTATTTGTATTGACAAAATAGGAAAGAAACTTTAAGTTGCTGATGTAACCAAGTCTTGTAATAGCATATCGAGCCTCTGGCAGCTCTGCATCTTTCTCTTCTGCTCCAGGCACTGTGCGCACATACAACATTGGTCATTATATTAAACCCTGCCTAATCTAGCAAAGGGTATTAGAGACGTACACAAGTACTCTTTTAACTACTACTGTAGTTGAGAGACTTTGACACCTGAGAGCTGCACAGGATTAACCCCGTCTTCAATTAAAAAAGACTATGATCATCAAATGAATTCACTGAGCAAAGTTGTAGTGAGCAAATTGTTTTAAGATGTTTGTCATTTGATTTTCCAAAAACACAACATTCATAGGCTTTCTCCTTAAGCCTTTGCCAAAATAAGCCTGAGTTTTGACAAAATAATTTCAAACATAAGTAACAAATCACCTCCTTATCTAAATAGTCCTGGCACATTCACTTGATGCTGCTCACCAGGCAGCCATGCAGCATTAATCTCTTGCTACTCTAAAACAAGTGCAGTTTCGAGACACAATCAACACTTAAACTGCCATAATTGTAAAGCCAGTTCTGAGAGGTCACTGATGAGGCAGTCTTGGTAGAGTCTAACATGGAAGAAGAACACATGAGAAAGGAGGAAGTTGGCAGAGGAGACTTCAGTTACCAGAGTGAAGTGGAAAGCTGCGCCAAAAGCATTCACTCAAGTTCAGCGGGGACAATGGAGAAGCTGGAGAGTGGGGAGAGGAAGCAGTGGAGTTGAAAAGAAGTTGGGGATATGGAGATGATGAGAATCAAACTCATTACCAGTGACCCCTGTGTACTCCCATTACCACAGCCACTTTACACTGAGTAGCTGCTGTTATATGCACTTGAAAGCCAAACCGCGCGTACGTGTGGAGGAAAGGCACACTGGCTGATTAAAGTCGGACAGCATGGATGGAAAACCAGGGTGCACCATACTTTAGGTCCTCTCATATACACTGTATATGTAGTTAAGGGTTTTTCACGATTGAGGCTTTTGAAATACCAGATTTGGGCTTTTTGCATAATCTTACTGCTTTTGTTGAATATTATAAATCTTATTATCTTGATCTTTTGTAAATTACTGTTGTCTTTTTAAAGGTTAATCTACCACAATTAAAATCATGTATATGGATTTAGAATTTATATATTCAGTGGCAAATCTTTTAAATTGTGTGGACTCTTGGGAAAATAAAAAAACAATTTTACTGATGTCTCGCTGTATGTATGTCAGCAGTTATTACAATGCTTATTCATTCATGTTGTATTCAATTCACACAAAAAAGCATTACCTCTGTGCCCCGTAGGTGTTTTATTTTCAGAAACTACAACGCTTATACTGTGCAGCAACAACCGTTTATCATTTAGAGAACACAATTGTTATCTATATTTTTGACAAGATATGTAACTTTAATTTGTAAGGCACCATTTTCCATGCTTGTTGAAAAGAGATAACTATAGCGTGCTATAATTAAATGTACATAAGTGTTTCATGATTTAAAAATAAACAATTTTTCAAGGAGTGTTCTTCAAGCATTTGGACATGAAAACAACAAAAACCAGCCTGTACTTTAGATGGGTAGGCATAGGTTAAGCAAATCAGTTGATGTCTTCATACAAGCTTTCTGCACAATTGTGTCAAATATTTTATGATTGTCATTTTAAGCAGATGCTATCTAAAACATCACATGCTGTCTCCTCTTACTGTGATCCACACACTGGGAGCTAATCCTTCTCTTCCCGTCCCAGTATAGCATGATTGGCTTCTCAGTCTTAATTACATGTGAAACAATACCTTATTTTATTGTATCACTCCTTTCATCAACCCACTCCTTTCTTCCTTACTATATTTCCTATACCCTACTCTCCTATCCATCTCTCACAAATTCAGGCACACGCTCTTTGCACCCTTCTGTTCTTCTTGCAGGGATGAGGAAGTGACTTAGACTCTGGGATCTTAAGGATGTGTACTCCCAGTAGAGAGTAGATAATTCAAGCAGCAGCTCCTGCAGGTCGTCAGTGTGAAAATGAAGATCATTCCACTGAAAAAAATAAGCCAAACTGCAAAGTTCTTAACGTGACAGGCCTGGCCCTTTCATACATTTAGGAACATGAGTCTCTGGTTGTTCAGAAGATGTTTTTCTGCCATTACAAATGTTACGAGCCGGGTAAACTTGAGAGCAGACTGCTCTAACTTCAAAGGGGTTTTGATAGATATTTAGAGAAATATTTCATCAGTGTTGATGCTTTTCTACTTCTGTTAAGATGCTGGTAGTTGAGCCATATATCAGATCTCTCTTATCTCCACACTCTAAAAACGAATTCAGGCGACCTTTCACCTCCACTTAATTAAATGCATGGTTGCAAGATAAAAATGTGAGTTAATTGATTTAGTTAAACATTTTAAGTTGCAAACATTAATTTATAAGTTGTGTTGACGTAATAATGTTGGTAATTATATCAACTTAATATTGTGTGTAATTTGAACTCTGATTTCTGCGTTAATTGACTTAAAACAAAATTCAAGTCGTAGTAAGTTGCAATTGGCTTGATAACTTAATTGTTCTACACCTTGAGTTAAGGATTTCAAGTCCACTCCCACTTAACATGCCTGGACAAGTTCCGACAGTTAAGACAAATAGAAATATACAAAGGACATTTTAAGGTGAGTGACATCTTTTGTAATTCAAATACAGCCTTGTAGTTGCACTGTATAGGCAAATTGGCAACGTTCAGCATGGATAGGTGTTGACAGCAATGGCATGGGAAAAGGATTGTGTAACATTTGAAAAGTGGCTTCTGCTCTTCACTTAACCAGTTCAAATATTGTATGGAACCTGCAAAAAAGATGAGAAGATACAAACTTGCATGGTTGTGATTGACAAAATCTGTCCACATGCATTTAAACACTAGGCAAAGTACTCAAAAGCACCTCTGTGTGTCTTCAGGACCACATTGCCATGATGACACACACATGCAGACTCAATAGGTGAAAACAATACCAGCGTTGCTTTAGCAGCTGGTAATAATGGCTCTGAATTAGCTAAGAGTGACGGTTTAAAAAGTATGCAGTTACCTAATTCATTACCTCTTATGCGCTAAGCTATTATTTAATGTGCTTCAAAAGGGCATGAATATCGCATTCATCAGTGACCGGTCCACCCCAGGATCTGACCATACGATGGCAACCATCGTAGTCGAGGGAAACAAATGAATGAGCAAGCATTCTGCGTTAAATGTGTTCATACTGTTTGAAATAATGACTGTCGGCAGTGTAAACATCTTTGTTACATATTTTGTAAAATTGATATGTGTGGTCTGCAGATTGGTGGCCATTGAGAGTTTGTTACTGTAGTTTTACAAAAACTTTACAGATTTTACATATTTGGCACTGGTTTTAAATACGCAAAGGCCTATAACTTCGTTGTGATGTTCATTTATTTGCTGTGTCCCCATTTCCCATGGTAATAAGGCTAATGTGTTTATTTATTATTTGTGGGGCAATTTAAATTTGTGTTATTTATATATTTTTTCAAGATTTAAATGAAGCTCAGCGCAAGTTCTTTCAGGAAGACTGGGTGTATATACATTCACTCCGCAGCTGCATATAATCAGCTCACCACAGGCGTTCTCTTTAACCTATTACATTTCACCTCATTCTCCAGCAGCCAATCAACGTGCTGCAGCCAAACTATAAAATGGTTCTCCTCTCTCCTGCAGTCAGCTGTGATTTCAGGTGTTCATGCACCTTCATCATATGGCATGTGTCAATAAATGTTCAAACTAAAGGAATTCTCTCCTGATTGAAACATCATGTGTTGAAATAAACAACTGCAGTTCAAAATAAAAAGTGAATTGCCTAATATTTTTGTTGTGGAATCAATTAATTTCTTTCTTTAAAGGCAAAAACATAAAAAAGCTACGAAAAAAAACAATTGAATACAATATATTTGGAGCAACTTAATTTATAAATGGTCGTCAACTTAAAAACGTGTGTTCACAATGATGGTAATTAAGTACATACAACTTAAAATTCCTTATAAATCATGTGGTAAAACTAATTGGAACAACTTAATCTTTTGAGTAATCAACTGATTTCAAGATGTTTTGGAAAACATTTCAGTTTCTGAACCGCAGGTCCGAATTAATAATGATTATGTTCTCGATATTTTGTATGTAAAAAAAAAACTGCAAACCCTAGTTGCCTTTTTTCCTCTGTGAATTTATCCTCTTAATTTTCTAGTGTATATGTCAGTGTATGTCTGATGTTCTCCTCTTCCAGCAGTTGTGAACACCGACGTTTCCTATTGGCTTAGCTACAGCCGTGGAAGGTGTGGTCTGAATGGACACTGCATTCTTTGTTAAACCGTGCAGTTTACTATTATAAACTAAACTGTAAAGCAGCCAGAAAGCCTCGGATCCTTGACATCCTTGACGTTTTATGAACTTCCTTTAAATTCATTTCAATAACATACTTGTTTCAAAGGATGTGTTTCAATATTTTTGTAATTCGTCACCTGTAGGAATGAAGATGTAACCAGTCAACTCAAAGGAATTAAACGAAAACTGCCATCGTGTCAAACTCAGAAACTTGTATTGTTCTCAATCTGAAGTTTAGGAGGAAGAGGAGCAGTAACCGAGCTGTTATCAATCGAGACTTGGCTTGATGAAAGGAAAAACCGCGAGACGCGCGCGCTTCCTCTCACAGATCATGGGCACCATGCGCTCCTCGCGGTGTGCGTAAGCTGCTGTGGAGGATCCAAACAGTATGAGACGCCATGGCATGGTGTGACCGAGGGGTTCAGACTCTGCTGGCCATCGTGGGGGCCTTTGCCGCCTTCAGTCTCATGACCATCGCCATCGGCACCGACTACTGGCTTTACTCTCGGGCGTACATCTGCAACACCACAAATGCCACCGATGATTCCCAGGTGCAAATCAAGAAAGTGAAAGGCGACCTGACGCACTCCGGGCTGTGGAGGATCTGCTGTATTGAAGGTAAACTGAAATTGTATATGCTTGTAACTGTAATTCCATGAACTTTTGGTCACTTTTTTGTTGTCTTCGCTGGGTGATATTGTTTCCAGCCTTCTGCTTTTTTACGGCGGGGAGGTGACAACGTTTCCAGGTGGATCAAACACTCGTTACATCTTCATTGAAAACGGGTTTAAACAAATGCTACAGGTGGGAAAACGAAATAAAAAATACTTGAAACGCCTTGCTTTTTACAAATTTCTGTTTGCTTGGTGTGACGAAGCACCATCAATTAAAGTCTGCCAAGGGGTACATCATCATTATTACTCATTTATTCTGTTGAATTCGTTAAATAGCATTAAAAAAGTGACTTGGGTATGATATTAAAAAGGAAAGATTGGAGGGAAACTGCTGCTTGTTGCGCGCAAAAGTAGTGTTGTGCATGCGTAATGCTACGTTTGAGTCAATTTCCCTTGTAAATGAATTAGTTTGTCAATGAAAAATTGGACTCAATACACAGATCATGACTAATAAGAGGCATTTTTTGTGTTTTACATGTACACACATTTACGAGGAAGAGATATATTTTGTCCAGTAGGATAATAATGTAAGGCATGGTTGCTCGGCAACCCTATAAAAAACTAGACGAATACTTTTCAGCAACAGAAGTTGTAAGAAACTGCCGTTCTTCTTGAAATCCTGTCAACATTTCCTCAGCTGTTGTGCTGCTTATCCATGATCCCCAGCACACACGCACGAGGGGTTTTGGGAGGGCTTCCTGCTCAGAGGTGTTGCTTGGACACCTTTGCAGGTGTTGCTTGGACACCTTTGCACACCATTGCGCGCTTCATTGGAGAAAAGCGGGATCAATGAGATCATTCAGGTGATCCGTGAAAATAAGTCTTGCATCAGCCCCCTCTTTCCACTACTGCTGAAACCTCCGCTTTGAATCCTTTTTTTGTATCTGAATACCCAGCAAAAATAAGGCAAACGTAGATAAATCTATATATTTTTTAGAAACAAATACAAAAATACTGTGTTCTACCAATAGGGTATTCTGTTTAACATTTAATTTTAATCTGTTCAAATTAAAGATGAAAATGAAATGATATAATGTACAATCCCAGATGTATAGGGGCTAATCATGGCACTGCTAACTAAAGTATTATCTCTGTAATCTCATGATTGTAAGCAGAATCAGCTTTTCCACACTTTCCAACAGGTGAAATATGGCATGTTTGTTACTGTTCATAATTGTTTTGCAACCAAACATTGTCTGCCTTTGTAATCAAACATAAGTTGTGTTTGTCTCATGTACTGAATGCAGTCATTACAGAAGTCACACTCCATGCACTTTTGTTCTGCACTGTTAAGGCTCTTGAGTTTTGAGATACCAAAGAACATCACTATTTATGGATTTCCTGTAAAGTTACTCAAAAGACGCATTCCATGTCTCTCGCCTCCAACTCTTGAGAGTATCGTCACCAGAAGTGAGATGGAGTGCTCGCTGTTAAACATCTGCGGTCTGTTCCGCCATGCTCTTTCCCTCATATATTGTTGGATGTGTTTTACATGCAATACTTGCTGCTTCTCACACACACTAACGTTGAGTGGCACCTGTTTCTCTAAATGCATTTTTTGGATATAGAAAGTTAGTGAAAAGTTATTTTTTGAGGTCCTGCTTACCTGGCATTTTCCTATTGTGGTTGACTGGTTTGCTTGTTTTGATTTTTGGAAAAAGTCTGAAAAATGGTTTTAATAACTAATTTGACTGTCCAGTAAATATGTATTCGCCTCCAGGAGCAAAGAACAAGATGGAATCCAACCAGTTAAATTAGGTAAAATGGACGGGATAAATAATGGATATGCACGGGGACATGTTGGCTAACCTTGTAGAAGAAATTGTCTCCCTAATGTGCCAAATAGACGTCTGTTTGAGTGTTGTGTCTTGTAAAACAATGATGAGGTTCACTGAGGGTGATGGCAAATTAGCTTTTATGGAAACAAAGTGAAGTCTTGTTCTGCAGCCATTGAAGCTGAAATACGACAAGAACTCTCACTTAAGCTAATCCTCCCTGATCGTTGAACACGCTGCAGTTGGACTAAAAGACATGACTTGTTTCAAACAGAAATTCGGTCTGACTTCAAATGGACAAATCGGCGTGTGTGTGTGTGCGTGTGCGTGCGTGCGTGTGTGTGTGTGTGTGTGTGTGTGTGGTGAATGCATTAGAAAGAAGTGAAAGGCTTCCTCTGAGAAGCGGAGCTAGAAATGTGATTCTGGGTTGCCGGGGAAGGTTGCCATGGTGAAGATATGCTGAGTAATAAAAGATGGGCTCTGGTCTCTCAGACAGATGGGCTCTGGGGAGATACCTCCCCTAGTGAGCCCCCCCCCCCTCTCTCTCTCTCTCTCTCAGCGCTACTCCTCTCATTAATGACTCGTGGGTCTATTTGATTATTTGGTCTTTTTAGTCATAGACTAGATTTTTTATTTGATAAGTAATTGTTAATCCTTTTTTCATGCAGAATGACTTATCTTCAAGAATCTTATGAGAATGTGAGAGTCACAGATTAAAGTGGTTCATATGCATGATTCTTTGTGGAGATACTTACGACAATTACATCAATCGATCAATTAGTCGACAAATCGATTTAGTGTAAGTCCACATTTTCTTTTGTCAAGGACTACCCTTTTTTGACTTCCTGATTCTTTATCCTTTACCCTACATCTGTTACTCTTTTTTTCCTGGACATTTACAGATGCCACAATAAGGAGAAAACCTCCAATTACACTTCTTACAAATGGGAAATACAAGCGAGATACACTCATACAGCAAGAACAAAGATTATATTTCAACTGAATGTGCTTCTGTATCGATCGAAATACGTGCTTGGTAAATAAAAGATCAAAGGGAAGCTGAGGGGTTCAAGAGGAAAACATCTGGAACACAGGAGGGAGAGAAGTGGGTAATTGAGACATGATAGTGGTAAGAGTGTTGTAAAAAGAGACAGAAGGTGAGAGTTTCAAGAGACTGAACGAGTGAGGTTCAGAGAGTGGAGTAGGTGAAGATAGACTCCTAGATATTTCATCACTATACCTTTGTGGGTATAGATTTTCCGTTTCTCTCTTTCCCGCCACAGGCATTAACCTTGAAAATGTAGCAGACAAAGGTGACACTAGCTTAATAATAATAATAATAGCTTGGATTTATATGGCGCCTTTAATGAGACCCAAGGTCGCTTTACAGAGAAGAACAGGAGTAGAAACAAACATAATAAAAGGCAGTCAGACAAACAGTCAGAGAGAAAAAACAACAAATAGATTAGGGGCCAAAGGCCTTAGAAAACAGATGGAACTTGAGGGCCCTTTGGAAGGCGTCAAGCGTGGGGAGCGTTCCAGAGGGTGGGGGCTGCCACTGAAGGCTCTGTCCCCGAAGGTTCGCAGGTTGGTGTGGGGGGTGGTAAGCAGGCCGGAGTCTGAAGACCCTAGGTTCTGGGGTGTGGCATGTGGGCGAAGGATGTCCGATAAGTACTGGGGGGCATGGAGGAAGACTTTGTAAGTTATGCAGGACTTGACCGGCAGCCAGTGGAGGTGGATGAGGGTGGGAGTGATGTGCTGCCACGGCTTTTTATGTGTGAGTACCCCAGAAGCACAGTTTTGAACATACTGGAGCCTGTCCAGGGTTTTGTTGGGAACCCCAAACAGGACAACATTGCAGTAGTCCAAGCGGGAGGTAAAGAAAGCATGGACTAGGTTTTCTGCAACTGACTCCGAGAATGACGGTCGGAGTCTGGCAATGTTCTTTAGATGGGAAATGGCCGATTTGGTAACAGACTTGATGTGGGAGTGGAAGGATAGGGTGGAGTCAAGGATGACACCCAGGTTGCAGGCTTCAGGAGATGGGGAGATGGAGCAGCCGTCAACCTCAAGGATGAAGTTACCAACATTCCGGAGCAGCGCCTTGGGTGCCACAACCATGAGCTCTGTTTTCCTGGTGTTTAGTTTGAGATAGTTGGACGACATCCAGGTTTTAATGTCATGCAGGCAGTTGACGAGAGACTGGGGGGGGGATTGAATAAATTGGTCCAACTTTTGCTCATTTTTCATATTAGAAGAGCAATATTTTGTGTCACATGAAACACACACTGTATATATTAAGTGTATGAGAGATTCCAATGCTACATTTTAGACATGTAGTAATTTTAACACAGATAGTGCATGTCCATTGTCACATCTGCAGGCGTGTCTATCATTGCTCCAGAGCAACAAAAACAGAAGCAAAGGGAGAAGTTACAGGATGTGGTAGCAAAATCAGACGTCTGACTTTAATTCACAGTCTAACCTTTCAATATTCATAATGCTCCAATGTTTTATTCCCTTAAAAGTGGAGGTAAAATGTTATCGTGGAAGAGACTGGGGTTGCTTTCCTATAATCCAAAAATCAGCTCCTAAATTCTAACCCTATCTCCTATTCCTTGACCTCTGAGTGAAACGTCACGGGGTTAAGGGATAGTGGATAGGAGAATTCAAAAGGACTTAGGAGAAGAGACTGCTGTACTTTAGAGAATCTGAATGTACTTTCACTATCCAATGTGTTTATGATGCGCCAGCGGACGTCATTGTGCGCATCTGCTGCTGTGGGGAAACTATGGAAACTACAGTGTTCTATACAACGGACTACATGGATGTTTAATAAGAACGAGGGACTCATCTAGAGACTCACCGTGCTCTGATGCTGTTGTTTTATGCTTTATGAACATGGACAACAGAGAAACATATTATTCATGACCAAAGTTGGAATTGAAATAAAAAAGAAAAGTGAAACTTATACTCGTCACCCTCTCCCTCCGGTCCACATTAATACAAATGATCCCAATACGTATGATTGTATGAACTATGAAAATATCTTAAAATCAATACAAATGTATTTATTATAAATGTTAGTCCTTAACACCTATCACTGTGTATATCACCATTCAAACATCTTTTAAAAGTTGAGCAAGCCCCACACAGCTCAGTGAAATGTTGACCTTATTTGATCATTTCAGTAAAAACTAATGTTCATATTTCTCTTTTTGATTATAATACTGATGAACGTTCAAAACAAAGCACTTTGGCAACTTACCACATACGTTTTAAAATGCTTAATAAGCACCGTAACTTTCATGATATAATTTCTCCGTCATAATCGTTTCCGTGAACGGCCGACTGTTGTGTGACGGCACATGCTGCGGCTGCAAGGCATTGTGGGGCAGCTTTTTCTCCTCTCCTCTCGGTAAGGGAGGTCCAGTGGTTCCTAAGCTAAAGGAGGTTATAAAGGAAGTTTGAAACCTCCTTTCCTATCATCTAGAGCAGGGGTCGGTAACAGGCGGACCGCGGTTCGGATCNGAAGCTGGTGGAAAGCGGATGTTGCGTGTATTGGACACAGCCCAGATCCGACGTATGCGGTGCTTGCTTTCTAGACCGTACAACTTTTTGGTGCTTGAACTAAACCGGATTCCGGAGCTTCCGCTGCGGTGTGAACAGAAAAACCGGTGCTTTTCAAGCTCCATCTCCGAACCGGCCCTGGAACCGCGTTGGTGTGAAAGGGGCATTAGGAGAAGAGACTGCGGTACTTTAGAGAATCCGACTGCACTTTCACTATCCGACGTGTTTATGATGTGCCAGCGGACGTCATAAATGCACATCTATTGCTGTGGGGAAACTATGGAAACTACAGTTTTCTATACAGCGGACTACAACATTGATGTAATAAGATTGATGGACTACTGTAAACTCATCTAGAGACTCTGCACCGTGCTCTGATGCTGTTGTTTTATGCTTTATGAACGTGGACAACAGAGAAACATATTCTTCATGACCAAAGTTGGAATTGAAATAAAAAAGGAAAGTGAAACAAACTGTCCTTCACTGCAAATATAGCTGCTACAACCCGCTGCTGCAGATACACTCTTTACAACATCAGGAGAATACGTCCCCAGCTGACCCAGAAAGCGACGCAGGTTCTGGTCCAGACTCTTGTCATCTCACGCCTAGACTACTGCAACTCCCTCCTGGCTGGTCTACCTGCATGTGCCATCCGACCTCTGCAGCTCATCCAGAATGCAGCTGCTCGTCTGGTCTTCAACCTTCCTAAATTCTCCCACACCACGCCGCTCCTCCGCTCCCTTCACTGGCTTCCAGTAACTGCTAGAATCTACTTCAAGACACTGGTACTTGCGTACCATGCTGCGAATGGATCTGGCCCTTCCTACATCCAGGACATGGTTAAACTGTACACCCCAGCACGTGCACTCCGCTCTGCATCAGCCAAACAGCTCGCTGCACCGCACTGCGAGGGGGACCCAAGTCCCCATCAGCAAAAACACGTGGGTTTGCTATCCTGGCTCCAAAATGGTGGAATGAGCTCCCCATTGACATCAGGACAGCAGAAAGCTTACACATCTTCTTCAGACTGAAAACTCATCTCTTTCGACTCCACTTCGAGCGATAGAACTATTAACAAAGCACTTATATACTAATAAAGGACTGGCTTATCTAAAGCCAGTTGAGTAGCACTTGAAATGTTTGGCTCTATGAAACCTGATGTACTTATATGATTCTGTTTTCTTCAAGGTTGTATCTTCCTGCTC